ATAAAAAAATTAAATTAAATAAAAAAAAATCGCAATATTTTCGGATCAGTATAAAAATACTCCTCTGCTATAGAGTGTATAGGTTCAGATGCCCATATGCAGCTCTTTCGCCATGTTACAAGAGGCTTTGAGGCACACACACACACACCCGTACACACTCACACACATACATATGTATATTAATAGTTATGCATGTGTAATGGCAACTCAAGTGTCAATCAAGCAGCTACTTGTGTTGCATTAACAAAGAAAATAAATTAATACAACAACAACAACAACAAGGCAGAAGAAGTAGAAGCAGAAGAAGCAGAGAAATTTCCATGGCAGCTAAAAGTGTCAAACAAATCAGAGCGAGAAAATGARCGGCATAAATAAAGCCAATTGGAAATGGAAGTAATGCATAATGCATATGTATAAGTAAATATATGTGTATGTGTATGTATGTGTGTGTCTGGTTGTAACTGTGCCAGCGCTCGCTTGCAGCAAACTATGCAAACTGATGACAAAATTGTTTTACGCGCGCGACTCTTCAAATTGCATTAAAGTTGACAGCGACGTCGACTGCGGCAGCGACGCGTCGCCTGATAAAGCAACTGCTGCGTGCTGTTTAGATTTGCAATGCACTCTATCTCTGTGTGCGTGTGTGTGTGTGTGTGTACTTTATATGCAATTGCCGCACTGCAGCAAGCATAGCGTGCATCAGGTTGCGCCTCTTGACTTGCCACTGCGATAGTTTTCGCTTGCGGGCGACAAAAAACGCGCGCAAAACGCGTGCGCAGCACGTCGACAGCCAAACGCGATTAGTCACACAGCTGTCCCAAAAGCCCCAAAGTCAGCTAACCAAAGAGCAGCACACACACACACACATAGAGAGACACACACACATAGACTCAACACTTGCTGCAATACGCAGCAAAGCAAAACACGCAATGCACAACATGCGCAATGCATTTTCTTCATGTTGCATCAGTGCCCCCAGACCCCCAGCACAACCACACCCCCCACCCTCTTCCCCCCTCAAATGTGGTTGGTTTGGGGGCGGCACAATGCAAGCCACTGTGTGCGGTTGGGCGCCTCTTTGCAATCAATTTGATTTAAATGTTGTTTTTTTTTTTTTTCTTTTTTTTTTCATTTTACATTTTACTTTCAGCTGTTGCTTTTGGCTTTGCTTTTGCCACTATTACACATTTCCGAAATATTCTGTTAATTTATTTGATTTAATTGCACGCGAACATCATTTATGACATTACATATTACAACACTCATTTGCAGTGTTGACAACGGCCGTTTACATAAGAATAAGCCAGGCCAACTTGGGCCAGCGAGTGAAATGCAGTTTTCCGCATGTGAATGACAATGCTTGTGTGTGTATGTGTGTGTGTATGTAGGCTTAAGAAGGATGACACTGTTGATGATGTTCAGTATAATGATGATAAAGATTAGTGATGGCACGATTAACCATGCGATACATAATAATCGATTATTTTGTTTCCATAGGATTGAAGATCAAGATCAATATCAAGAATAGAGCTATGATTATAGGGTTGAGAACGATAGCAATAATAATGTTCTGTATAATGTGGATAATGAAAGAAAGGCTATTGTTATGATTATAAGAATGATTACGATCATGATTATAATTATGTTTATGAATATAATTATAATGATTAATATGATAATAATTA